AACCTCAGAGCGCAGCAAGAGTCAAGTTGGAGTACGGCATCATATTTTTATACTCACGTGGCGCTTTTATCAACGACATGGTTGTTTCGTGGACGATTTGATTGATTTCAAAATAAATTTTAGCGACTTTATTGATATGATGTCCTGTTCAATAAGGCAACATTGTCAATACATGTACGTAGATAGACAATATAGAGTAGAATAGATAATCACGCTTATAGATCAGAATTTACCATAGGTAGTTATTTATGTCAGAATCATGTATAAGAACAATGGTTATACAGGTTTGACTTCGATCAAATTGATTTTGGAGGCGGTGGGCAAATTTTAACTATTCCTCCCCTCTTCTCAAGCTGCATACGGTCCGTGGATGTGCCAGTATTTTGGCCATTCAAAAGCTGGTTCGACACTGCGTAACAGAACTTCAAGTAGGTGTATGCTAGAGGAACTATAGCCTTCTACCTTCCTAACTTAGAAACGAATAACTATAAAGCACCGCTTTTTCTAGCTATAATCACAGCCCTTCTTAAAAAGAAAAGAGTTTTTGTTTCAACTGCCTTAGATAACTGACTTCTTCATACGAAGTCATTGGTGGCCTATATAGCTTCATCTTTGGCCCATATAACTTTACCTTGTGGGGTCATATGAGCCAACGACACAGATGCGTTCAATTGATATTTTCTCGAACGAATTGTAGTTAGCTTACTTCGGCAACAGAAGAATATACCAGTATAATTTTTTTGTTTCCCCTAGCGCGGGTTCTTGCCAACTATAGTGATAAGTACATTTTAACCCATCTGGTGAACACATATTGCCTCTTTCTTTTGTGGCCACCTGACGGGGCATGGGTGAAAAAGGATGATCTAATAGAAAAACAAAACAACGAATAGTGGTTTACCCTCGTTGGCGATCCAGAACTCATGCAGCTTTTTGTACGGTTCCAAGCTTACGCGTAATTTTCGTTAACACCCTCTGCTTGCTACGATATACTTCTTTCTCAAGATAATATTTGCTTAGCGTCCTGTTATAATTTGTTATAACAATGTTATATATATATATATATTTGTTTTATACATGTTATAATTTGATAGTCAGGTTCCCCACGGCCTATCAATAAAGAGGTGAATTCTATTTTTTTTTAGCTTTTAGGCATTTCCGCGGACGGACTCAGATCCCAAAAAATTAGGGTCTACTTAAAAAAATGGTTTAGCTTTAATATTTTTTTCAAAGTATTAATTGCAGACTTATGCCTCTAAAGTAAAGACGAGCCACAATAGAAGCTATTCCAGTCTTTTCCAACAATTCAAACCATCCTAAAGCTAAAATGTCAAGGTCTTGCCTCCATGAATTATGCTCCTCGATCAACTGTGTTCTTTCTGGACGCCTTTTTTTGATGTTTTAGAGTTACTCACTTATTAAAACTAAAAACAGGTTTTTAATTTGAATAATGTTTGCAAGTGGATTTTTTTGCTAAAAACAACCACCTTGTCGACTTACGGCTTGCATCTCCTAGTAAATGCGTGGGTTAAATTGAACTTGAGAGCTGTTTAGACGGATTTGTTGTTGGGATATTTACTTAGATGTGAGGCTTATCAAATAGCTCAGTTTTGTTTAATTGGGCCGAATTTACTTCGTGTCAGTCAGTCCACCGGAGCCTATAACCGTCTAAGGAAACGTCGACTCGTATCTTTTACACCCTACACCGCAACCAAAAGGTTATAAGCTTCCCATTCACTTCTTATAGTCGTTACTGCCTTCAACTACATGGTTAAACTTTCGTTCCGATGGCGCTTCTTTCTTCCTTCGCCCTTCAAGATAGGCCAACTTGTGGTAGGGCCTTTGTCAAGATCGAATGGTCCAAATTCGTTAAGGCGTGTAAGAGAACCGTGGATGGCAGAGATGGACTAGGCTAAAAAAATCAGAGGTAGGACCTTTCGCTGGTCTTGAAAGTTCGCGGTCGCCAGCGGCCTACAAGAGATTGATATCAGAAAAAAAAACTATGCATTGGCTGCGTCGCTCGACGAAAAAGATGCCTGCTGCATTGACTTTAACGGCTCAGCCACATGTTCCTTTGCCTTGTAGGCTAAATGCTACGGCGGCCTTCGCTTATGCGCGCTGAAGGTTGACCCATATACCGTTCCGGCGGGCCAACATCCCCTTCAACTCTACAAGCACCTTGAATAGGACAAGGCTAACAGTCGCCAAAGTCTTCTGGAAGGCTTCTAACAAAGTAACACTTCTTAGCAAAAGGGTGCTGATGTCTTCAAGAATCCTAGTGTGTTTTCTTTGGGGCTGTAAGCGCTCGCGTAAGCCAATGGGCCAATAGTCACAAAAGAAACTCCAGAAGTCCGAGTTATCTAGTCAGTAAGCAATACTAGAGATCGTATAAAAGTATTTCAACAAAATCCTCTACGCTTGCTCAGTTCGATTTAACTACATTTCGAACTGAATAGGAGGATGGTCCAAACGGAAATATCTCTCGGGCTTTCTCATCTATACGTATAGGCGGAAATACACGTCAAGATCCACAAAACACATGATCGAAAAAGCCGCCTAATCCCGGTTGAAGGATGAGTAAAGCACCGTAGTCATGATCGTGAGACTACAATTACTCCTGGGTTTTAGCTGGAGATCCCATACAATTTTTAATTATTCTTCATCTGCTTCATGAAAGTTTGCTAAGCCGTGGAGCTTGACTAGTGTAAAAAAGCTAATTCGTGTGCTACTAGCGTCTTAAAATTAGTATTTGCTCCACCTATGTAATAACTTATTTAATCCTTTGCGAGTTCAACTTAAACTCACGTGCTTAAAATCAGTCAGTACTTCGCTTTTGCATTTACGATCGTTTGATACTGTATTCTCCCTAATAAGTAGTTTATAACAATAATGAAGCCCGTCTTCTGTTAACTTCACTATCCTAAAAAAGTTCGTAGTAAACATACGAGTCAAACTTACGAGAGTTACTTTAATTATCCTTATCCAGTTACTTGCCTAGTGAGTTCGTTAACTCACGTAACAACAAAAAGTATAAGTGTGCACGGTGTCGTCCAAGAAGAACATTTTTAAAAGCACATGTAAGTAGCGCAGGATCTGTTACAGTATTAGTGTTATATTAAATGATCTACATGGCTTCCTATATCGGTATAGAAAAGGTGTTGATTAGGTTTTACCTTGTTTTTTATTTTAACATCCACCATCTCTGCCGGCCGGCTTGAACGCTCGCGGATCATTCATGACGGATTACGATCGCCTGACGTTAGGCGAGCGAACATGGACAGAGCGGAAGGTACAGCGATATCAGGCCAGCCGTATTATGCGATTATATCAGTATGTGTCAGCGTGGAACGATAATAGTATAAGAAAAGGTATAAAAAAGCATATAGGAAACGCCCATAAACGTATGTGTGTAAAACTATGCGGCAAGTAGTTGGCTTGCATCAAATACGTCCGCATGTATATACATCGGTACGAAAAGCAGCGATGTTGGCTTCTATTCACTAACCGGTTTCCTAAGCCACTAAGCGTTCAATCACTGACATATTTTACAAATCAAATCACTGACATATTTTACAAAGTGCAATTGCGATCAAGGGTATTGGATTGCTTTCTTATAAAAACTCAGGTACAGCAAAATATAGAAGCAAAAATAATTTCAAAAACAGCTTGCCGACGTCCTGCTTGGCTTCCGGGTAGCTTCTCCAATTCAAAGCAAATCACTCCTTCACTGCCATCAAAGATGGTATATGTACATGTTACAAAGCTGACATTGAGTTATGGTTAGACAAGCTGTCTGTCAAATGAAACGAGAGGCGATGGCATGTAAACGACACATGGAACTATTTTATGAGAGGTCCTGACAAATAAAAAAAGCATTGCATTTATGCCACGGATATCAGAACGCCCCATTACGATACGAAAACAAAGACGGTCAACAAATAGATTCTCGCCATGGCTAAAATGCCTCAAAAGCTGTAAAACAAGTCGGCCGTCGATTGTATTGCAGCTGAAGGGAAGTTCAATGGAACCTTCAGAATTCTCTGATGCACAAGACGAACTGTCGATAGGAGCAGATACGCACTACCACAAGCCCTACGGGAAAACAAGCGGCCAAGCCAATAACATTGCTTAAGCATTGCATTCGTTTCTGATTGTGCACAGCGTTACAGTGTCTGACTCTATATGGCGAGAAGCGGGTTTATAGTCCAGACCCAGCCTTTGTACCCATCGAGTAATGCCCACCTGACGCACTCATACGCAATCGCAATTCTGATGGCAGATACAGGAGGTGACGCTTGGCAATAACCGTCCAACGATGTTACGCCTACTAGCCGCGATACTGCCTTTTTCTTTGTCCATTCCCGCTGCATCCCCTACGATGTCGCCGGCTCCTTAGGGGGTTATGATGTGACGCAGAGAAACCGGCACGATTGCCACCAAAAAGCTAAGGATTTTGGGGGTGTGGATGGTATCCCTTACCGACAGCAGCAGGAGACAGCAAAACAGAAAAGGGCATAGGCTTAATACAGACAAGGTGGTTGCGATGCGTTGTTGTCCTATGCCCCTATCCGGGCAATACCGTACACCCGAAGACCATTCGTAGATCAGCGGCGGCGGCGGCGGCGGCAGCGGCAGCAGCACCAGCAACGACAACGACGATGTTCCCAAGTGGGCGTTGATGGATAAACGTCACTAAGAACAGTGGCTTTGTCTATCCACTCGCCTGTCTGTCTGTCTATCTATCTAGCTTCTAGGCCTTCGTTGCCACTTTTCTTTTCACTTTTGACATCACTTTCTACCGTTAGCAATATGACAACCGATCAAGAAATGTTTTCGCAGGCCTAGCATTTTCCTTCATCGCCTTTATTTCGTCTAGCAAAAGAACGATATTGTCTCTGCCGCCTCAGGGTAGCTGCCGTTGCTGTTCGCTTTGGTTGAGTATGGCAGTATCCCTGACAGGAGAGATTGGTAGTTTTGGTGGGTTGTGATGCATTTTAGCTTACGGATGATGCATGCGGTGACTGCCGGAAGGGTCCGCCGATTGGGAACGCACGTTAAGAACGAACCTGCTATATAAGGTTGTCCTATAAAGTCAGGATGTGATAGATGAATTAGATTCCCTTTCACATTGTGCCTTTTTTCATTTGTGTTTCGACTTTAAATTTAGTTGCAACTTATGAAAGAACATGCACAGTATCTCTTTAGGTTCTTGACTTCGTAGTGCACGAAGTCTATAGCAGCTCTAACGTGATGATCGTACATACTCACCATTTTTCTACCATATGACGTGCTGCTTTATGCCTGTCATAAAGGATTCAGGTTGTATATACCAACAAGACGTGGTAATTCTATCAGCATCGAACGCTATTGTCACGCAATAACACCAACGATCCTGTATTCGGCAAGTCATTACTGAGCTGCTATTTATTCGATGGTCCCGCAAGTCAAGGGTATTTTGAAAATTACTTAACAAAAATCTTATGTGAAATTCATTCAGAAGTATTTCATCGTCACTAACAAATCAATTTTAAGCTTACTCATAATAATCTGTTGATCTAGGGAATTCCTCATAAAATACTTGACTTCTGCACCGCTGACGGACCGGTCTGCAGTTGCTAGGTCGAAAGCTGCCATCAAAACAAATATGAATTTCGGTCAGAAGCGATTTACCATACCGCGGATTATCGCAGTTGACCGTTGCGGAAGCGCCATGAATCTTTTGTAGAGCTTTTTCGATAGCTTCCACCGAAACCGTGTACGTCGAAGACGGCCGAATGTCTTGTTCAGCCAATATATTTAAAATATTAGCGCGCTCAGTTAAGTACAACGTTTTGTTGAAGTATTTTGTCATCGAATTAACGCCACTGATCTCCCTGAAGCACGTGCCATGCTTTCTCCATTCGTATTCCCAAAATTCTTCATCGGGTCTCCCACAAGATGGCCACAATGCTTGCATCAATTTAACGTTAAGTGATAATTTCGAGAACGTTTCGTATTCGCCGCAAAAGCTCATCATACCCCACAACCCGTGAATCGTCCAGTTGTTCCGTAAACAATTATGACAGCGGCGATTTCTGAAATCTACTCCACGGTAGCACACTCCGGGAGTCCACTGTAAAGCGAGTACAAATAGGTCCTGCCGTTCACGGACTGAATTATTTGCAGAACTTGCGCTGTGGTTAGCTCCGGCTCGCAACCGGGCTAGCAATGGTGACGGCGCGAAAAGCGCAGCCTGAATGGCAAGGGCACTAGTGAAATAAAGCATCCGAAGATGTTGCGCTCGATTTTGTCCTGAACCCCCACCCCGAAGGCGTACTGCGCCTAAAGCAAGAAGGGCGTACGTCAACCATATCGTCGTACTCAACGCGAAAAACATGAGACTTGATGTCGAAAAGACAGATTCCATGCTGTAGACGAGCTCTTGTAGCGACTGTAAATTTTAATCAAGTCAAGTCAGCAATTTGGTTCCACGAAGAGACGTGAAAGTCCCCTGAGTCCGCTAATGGTAGGCAATGGGAAAAATTTTTGTCCGAACTTCTACTTTCGTTGTTTAGTCATTTAAAGTGGCGGAGGCGGGAGGTTCGACTTAATTACATATTTTTTTTTTTGGCTTTCAACTCGGCTTTACAACTCATTACGCAGCTAAAGTAATAAATAGCATAAGCTAAGCTACGTTGCCTTTACAATATATTAAACGTCGTGTATATATTTCTTATGAAAGCACTGTTACGGTACTGGTTAGCTAGGGCGGTATCGTTCTAATTTTGATTATGACAGGGGATCGCTGATGGCACGAAATTTAGTAAATAGATCGTAATGAGGAAGCCCACTTCCTAGCCCCATTTTTTTACCAACCAAAAACAGAACGTTATCGTGCATTTGGTTATCGATGTAATGGCTGCTAGCCGTACTCGTTTTCTGTTGACGTGAACAATCATCCAGTCGGCGAGTGCTTAGGAAAAAAACATCAACATGTTTTTAGACGCGATGGCAATGAAAACTGCGAATAATATTGTATGTTATATAAATCAGGCACAAGTTTATTTCTAGAAATATGCCTATTTTTACATTAGGAAACGTGACGTGAAGGTCAATTAGTGATACGCGGAATCCTAAAAGTTGAGAGTTTGTTTCATTATTTTCCATTTTCCCCCCGTCCAAGTTTATGACTTTGAGGGGATAATTGGCTCTCTGGCTTCCTGTGTCGCTAGGGAAGTTCAAGTTATCGTTGCAGCATCGCAAAATAAATATATAAATAGCATCGAATTTCTGGTGTATGTCGACTCCCAGAACCAGACTGTGCTTATTAACGAAAAATTTCAACTCCACGACTTAATCTATGTGACGGCGCCAGCAGCGTATTGTAAATACCGAGCACTAGCGAGCGGTGCCGAAATTTCAAGTTCAATACGTCATGCTAACCACTATCGGGTCAATTTCGAACAAACAATAGGACCGGCGACGTACGAAGCCTGATAACTATTCTTCGCTAATTGTCCTTAGGATGCTGAAATCATTGTCGATTACTTTTATGTCCTAGAGATATGAGTGTAAATGTCTCACTGACCATATATGGGCTGGCCTTTTAATAGGAAATGGGAATCGAAGCTCTCGTTTTTTGCCGTGGAACATTCAACGTTGATGCTTCAGAAAGCATCGACTGACAATTGAAGTAACTGCTTTAGTACCGTTTCGAAGCTGCTGTATATTTTCAGCAATTTTATTATGGACATAATACGATAGCATAGCATTGCTGGTAGGATAGTTGGATGATCTCAGCATCGAAAAGTCTGCTATTGCGTGCCACTTGAATAAAAACCGTCACCATTTTGACTGCCCCTCGATTCAAAAACAAACACTTGAACCAATGTTCTAGAATGTCAAACTAAGAACGAAGAAGCTGACTTGCTCGGTTCAAGTCTTCTTGCTTTTTCCCGATGACGATCTAAATCAAATTGTTGTAACTTTCAAAAATTTTGTAAGTTTCTTACCAAATATTCCTAGAAATAAACGATACGTTTAAAATAAGAAGGTTAACAGTACTACCGCTTTTTTAAATATTGTAATTTTCAATATAGTATTCAAAGCATAATTGATATGGTGTTCGTGCATCGAGGTCCCAAGGATAGTTTTGTGTTATTGTTGTAATAACAGTCGCAGACTTTCAATTGTCCATCTTCCGTTCACGCCTAACCAGACGCGTAGCAAGACACTACGAGGGAAGCGCGGTCGCCCGCAACAAGTGTTGCTTAATAAAGTTGAACCTACATAAAGTGAATTTCGTACGGCCTAACGAAGATCAGTCAACTTAAGTTCCGACTTCATGTCCTGGCGCCGGAGAATATATCCTTGGGCTATAATTAGAGTGTCGTTTCCTGACGTTTGTTAACTTAGAGGAAGGCTATTCGCTACGATTGAAGTTCAGACTACGCACAATTGCTGCGGTGGTTTGTAACATCAAACGCAGTATTTCTAGTTTGGATCAAAAAAGGACGTTTGCAGGGAGAAAGATGCCTAAACTAGCCAATCTCTTAATTTGGCCGAATAACGTCATTGGCAATATCGATAGTCCATGGCCATATTTTACTAGTCTTAGAATAATTCCACCGACGATTTCTATCAAGGTGGCCGAACTTGTCAGGAGGAACAGCGCCAGGTTACCGATTTCATCGTTTACTCGTCGTTCGTTGCTTATAGATATCGTGTGCTACTTAGTATCGTTTATCCCAGGCTGTTTATCGTAGATAGTGGGAAGTTGGAACAAATACAAACTGTTTAAGTTCAGTCTCAGTCCTACGAGCTAGCTAAGATTGGTGTAAGTTACTTCGAAACCCAAGCAAGCTCGCGATAGGATATATGAGTTAATGCTCGCTATAAATATTTCGAGTTTTAGATTCTATATTGCCATTGAGTATTACTGCAGAACGGTTAATGGCGGTATTATTAGTTTTTCTACAACTGACTGGTTGTTTGTCGCATGCTTTCACCCACTACATGTAGCAGTAGTAGAAGGAAATGAATTCCTTCCAGAACTGACCATGGCAAAACGATGCATTTCTCCTGGTGTTTTAGGGAAAAACCGATATTAATGTACCCTTCAATTTCATCAAAATGGCTCAAAATCCATTTCGGATACACGTAGATCTTCTTGATACATAGACTAGCGGCGCTTCTACAAATGACCAATTGGGTCGTCTATATGAGCTCTAAATGGGCTCGTTGCGTACTGGCAGCCAGCCGTCCACCCGATGGGGTGCTTAACGGCATAAAACTCGAGTCGTATTTATTATATACGTATTATTATTATTATTATTATTACATTGGTCTTTTCCACGTTTTTTACGCATTTTAGAACTTTTGACCCGCTATAGGTACAAAAGTATATTTCGTTCGTTTTCTTACAAGGTAGTATATGTGAGTAACATTTTCATTGATTTCACGTCCACGCTGCGTACGATTACTGCTTAAGAGTTATTTGCGGATTAAAGAACGAAGATCTAAAGATAAAGATAAGTGTTTTAAGCTCCGAATTGAGGTGGTCTCAGTCAAGTTCGGATTAATGGTGGCTATATTAAATAAACATAATTATCAAAAGTGATGCTTCTAGCACAAGGAAAAGAATGTATGTCTGTGAAAAAAACTCGAATTTAACCCTGTCTGTGCCTCATTCAGATGTGCCGCTATGAACTATTCCAACAGCCACCGATTTTTAATCCCCAAAAGTATTACTAAGATCAAGGGCCTATTCGTGTCTTCTCTTAAACACCTGTGCTCATCAGCCGATAAAAGCTATCCGTACCAATATACTAACCCGTACAGTTGTATAAATATGCATAAAGTTATACTTATGCAGACAGAATCATTCTACGAGCAGAAGTAACCATTTGAAACGAACACCTACATGTACGATAATCTCAGTTCAAGGTACGTGCCGCTGATTTTCATTTTGCTTTTATGAACCTTCGTACGTCGGATAATTAGTGGTCATATCAGACTTGGCAGAACGCCATGGCGAACTATGAACGAGTGTTGAGACTGGCTGACGCAGAAAAGCGATCCGGAAAGAAAACAGGAAGAGGGCAGAGAAGGAGGAAGCTCGCGATTACGTATGTGATACGATTGTTAACGCCAGCGCTATAGTAGTACAGATCTGAAGGGTCGGAGCGTTAAAAAGGAAACAAAGCTTCTTGAAACGACCGGCACAAATGGCTAGCACACGACTGTTACTCACCTCATTCCTTTGAGAGCATTTGCACGACCTCGCCATCTTTCTACACTGTGATTAGCACTTCCGCAGTAAATGACAATATGCTTAGCTAAAACCGAAATCAGCGAGCCAAGTATCAACATAACCGAGCGTGATCTCCCGGAAGAACTGAGACGCGACCAGAGTAAAGGGGTGATTTGAAGACGACTGCGGCACCGTTCGCGCAAGTTGAATCGGCAACGTAGAAGTACTGGTAAAGCCATAGATACGTAGGAGAATCCGCGTTTTTCTTGCGCTGAAACAAGTGCAAATAAATTCTGGGGCTAAAGCTCTCGCTGCTTGCTTTGTTTGTTGAACGAAAGATGAATCAATCGTAGGCGATCGAAGAGACATGATCAGTGCTTGAGAGGAGTTACACTGCTTAGCAGGCCAGCTGCAAATGTTCTCCATTCAGCTCAACGTTGATTATTTAACCTACCGACGATGTGTAGACCTGCTTTACTTTCTATAGTTCATCTTACTTTACTTTCGAAATAATAGAGTCCTCAATATAGGCACATGTTCAATCGAGTCAAAATGAACCTTACATATTAGGCTCAAATACCAGAATACAGAGAACAACTCATATCTGAATAAAATAGATAGCTAGCATAAAACATCAGCCTTTGGTTTTAGTCGAAGGGCATCTCCGTTCGATTCGATTGTTTATATTTATTTATCTAGCATGTACACGCATATTCATACGTAGACATCTTTGTATATATAAGTTCGATTTGCCCTAACCTAACCCTTGAACTCTTTCTCAACGTATAATTTCAGATAAATCATGACTTTTTCTATTCGGACAATGCGAGTTAGGTAGATATGGGCTTCTAATGATGTCGATGTGGCGTGATACGGCGTCAGTCCTGCCCTACCATTTGTGGTTTGAGGATATACTCGAATTGAAAACATGTCCAATGGTTTCGAATGGGTATCCGAAAGACGGTGGTAGGGGAGATGTGGGTATCGTCAAACGGATATCAATGTAAGAATCAGCCACGTATGTATATAGTGTATAAAATAACGAATTGAGACTGGTCGCTAACGCGCTTTACGAGAACCAACACTTAGCTGCGTATACGCCTTGGGAAAGGATACGATTCTAAAGTATCGCTAGTAAAGCTGGTGCAAGTGTAGATGTGAAGTAACAACTGAATATTATTCCCCACATCTGACCCCTTCACGACTTTAGTCTATTGTTCTAGTCTTTCCTATAGAAGTTCTGATCTTCTTTATTTTTGGTTAAGTTCCAGTGCTCCGAACAAATTAGTATAACTATAGTTAGATGTCTACCATTTGCTCAACGCGAGGTGTAAAAGTTAAAGATTGAAGGCACAGAGTTCTTCGCA